TAGGGAAATACAGAAGCACAACTCTTACCAGGACAGAGGTTTGTCAGTGAAGGTACGTTTTCACAGGAATCTTACTGCTGTGTTCTATGCCCATGTCAGCCTGCAAAATAATGCAAACATGCCTTTGGTTTTCTGTCTTTGTAGAAACAGAGGAGCATGGAGTGATTGTGGTAGCTTTGTATCCCTATGATGGCATTCATGAAGATGATTTGTCCTTCAAAAAAGGAGAAAAATTGAAAGTTATTGAGGAGTAAGTATGACAGTACTGATTGTATTGTAGTTTTTCTTTGGGCTCATCTAATTCCCTTCATAATGTTTTGATATCCTACTCTTAACATGAGTGAGTGAATAGTAAGAGAGCTCCCTTACATGTGAAAATGAAAATGCATATGGAGGTGTTGGTAGGACTTGGCAGCTGCCCGTGTTAACTGCAACCAAATATTGATCCAACACAGCCAATGGCTTCTCGGAGGACTTGCATTTAGAAGAAAGATGCTTCCTCTCTCTAAAGCATGGGCAAAGCTCTCTGCACAGTAGAACCCAAATAACACTCTATTTCTTTCCTTTCTTTGGAATACTACTGTTGTTTCCATTTTTTAGGCTAGGAGAATGGTGGCGAGCAAAATCTCTCACAACAAGGAAAGAAGGCTTCATTCCCAGCAACTATGTAGCAAAAGTAAACACCTTGGAAACAGAAGAGTAAGTTCTCCTAGGTTCTAAATAATGGCAAACTTTTTTCACCATGGTGGTGTATCCTTTGTGGGTGCACGAGAAAAATGGTTCTAACTCTTTGAAATACTTTTCAGATGGTTCTTCAAAGACATAACCCGAAAAGATGCAGAGAGACAACTCCTGGCTCCTGGAAATAGTCCTGGATCTTTCCTTATCAGAGAAAGTGAAACATTAAAAGGTAAGCTTTGGGGTGTGTTGCTTCAGAGCTACTAGTAAGGTTAAAAACATACAGATTGCCTTCGCAAAAACTGGCATCAGGTGGTACTGGATGTGGAGTAATCTCAGTGCATCATATTGTGTAAATTTTCTGCAGTTCTGTAGGAGTGAGAAGGATGAGAAAATCAGCAGAGAAAGAGAGAAGAGAGTTTACAGGTTAACACCTAAGGTTGAGATAGAAAAAAAAAAAGTGTGTGTGTGTGGAATGAATGGAGAGATCTTGTCTCAACATTTGTGGTTTCTGTACTGAAGGACACTTTTCTCTGTAAATAGTAGGTGCTGCATTTTATAGTCTTCCATTATTGGCTGTGTATCTACTGCTACAAGTTTAAAAATGTAGTTAGTGCATAACGAGGGTTTACACTTCTGTGCTGCAGTGTGAGGTTTTTTTTTCGAAAAGCTTTTTCATAAAAGTTTGTGCTGTAGACCAAGCTCTTTGTATTGAAAAGCTTAGTCAAGTCTCCAGATTCTTTGACGACGACTTTGAGAAGAGTTTAGGAGCTTCTCCCCCAGCATCTCAGCCTTGAAAATGGACAAGAGTTGTAGGAGTGGAAGAAATGAAGAGCTCCTGTAATTTAGGGTCGATGCTGAGGTTAGGCTACCAGGGACTAACAGATCTGCCCTCTCTCCTGTGTGCTCCAAGCTCTCTTTTTGCTAGCTGGCCCACGACATACAGCTTGTTCCTTTTCTGAAATGCTGATCTCTGAATTTCAGCTTCTGCCTGAGGAGGCTGCCAGCCCTGGTCTTGCTTTCCCAGCTGGTTCCACTTGAGCTCGGGGGGACTTTCTGCAGAAGTGGGCAGAAAGGAGGTGGAGCTGTCTGACTGATGGAACTCCTGAGTTTGTTGAATAAGATCGAAAAAGAAAGTGTGAGTGTAAGCATTTTGGTGACTGGTTCAGGACCGGCTGTTGGCTAACTTCCTTCTGTTGATTGCAAAATGTTTTTTGAGGAAATGAGGGAGTAAAAAGAAAAAGAGACAAGAAGGTGATTTTGATAGACTCAAATGTGTGGACACTGTAGATGTTTTCTATCTCTTACTGATCCTTCTTTCCTTATCCACAGGCAGTTATTCTCTCTCCATACGAGACTATGATCCACAGCATGGCGATGTTATTAAGCACTACAAAATTAGGAGTCTAGACAACGGAGGATTTTACATCTCTCCAAGAATAACTTTTCCCAACATCAATGATATGATCAAGCATTATCAAAGTAAGTTAAATCAATTAGTGAATTACTTAATAGAATACAGCCATTATTTCCTGTGAAGGAAAACAATTTTTTTCTTGTTTTGTTTTAAATTTCTTCCCCCCTCTGAATAACCCAGGCGCGCATGCTGATAAAGTAAAACTGGTTGGAACCAAAGTAACGTTATTATCATAATCAGACCTAATGCTGCTTGCTCTGTGGCATACCTTTGTAAATAAAAATTAGCTTTATAAAACCCTCGTCAAAGTTATGGTGATGGGAAGCTACTGTAAGAATTGCCTGCATTATAAATAAATTCTTTATTTGAGAGTAAATTTGTATTCGCAATTAGCATAAAAATGTATAGACTTCTGAATGTCTTCTTGTATCTGGTGTTGAGTGTGGAATTGTTTTTATTTTTCCTATAAAATTATTTATTGTTAATGATGTTTTGAAGGAAGCAAAACTTCATTGACTTCAAAGAAAATTACACCCACATAGAGTGTATATGTTCATTATTAAAAAAAAGGGAGAGAGACAAGTTTCTACCTGTGTTTTAGCTGCAAAAGTGACTTTTCATTCTGCATAACCTCCTGATGGATAGCCCCAAAATGTGGATTTTTTTAGTCTTGGGAAGACAAAGACAAAAAAATGTAGAACAGAAAATCACATAGTTGTTTTTCAAAGCCACGCTGAGAACTTGGCCTTGAGATTTCTCTGAGTTGTTAGACATATTTGGTAATTCTTTGGCACAGCTGGAAAAATTGAGAATTATTCAGCATTTGTATTAAAGTTGTAGCTGGTCAGTGTCTGACCTACTTATGCTTGCATGCACATGTGTCTGAAACCATGCTGCAAGAAAATGTAACGACAAATTCAGAATACAGGTCCCAAGCCTAACTCCTCTTGTATCTTCATCTACATACTGTCAGTAATCAGAACTTGTATTGTATGTGTTTGGTACAAATTGTACTAAAACCCCTTAATACCCTGTTGGTAACCAGATCCACATGATAGTTCTTTATTAAATTTGTCTCTGAATGCCAGATTTTAATTAAGAGGTGCTTAAAGTTATGTGAAAGCACTAGAAAGGTTACATTTTTATCAAAGCATCTGATAATTTTGACCATTATTTTGACCTGGTTAGTGCACATTAAGTGATATATGTCTCAAGTCATGAGGCAATAAAATATAACACATGCTGTATTTTGTTTTTCCTTTGAAAACTAGAGCAATCGGATGGCTTATGCAGAAAGTTGGAAAAAGCTTGTATTAGTCCTAAGCCTCAAAAACCATGGGATAAAGATGCATGGGAAATTCCACGGGAATCCATTAAATTAGTGAAGAAATTGGGAGCTGGTCAGTTTGGAGAAGTCTGGATGGGTAAGTTTATTCCTTTGAAACAAGTATTTAAATCTGCCGAAAGAAGTGTCATTTCAGAGTCACTCAGAAAAATAATGGACATGAAGCCAAATCAATATACTTGTAAAAAATCAAACTCGGGGCCAGAATATGCCTTATTGTGAGGAGAGAGGGTTTGTGGAGGGGGAGATACCTGACAGAGTTGTGGAGCAAATCCTTTGGTGTCTTTTAAAGGAGGCAGGGGAAAAGCAAGTAAGCACTGTAATTCAGAAGGTTAAGGAGAGTAGGGATTTTTTTTTTTGGTTGTGTTTTGTGGTGGAAGTAAAAGGTTATAGTAAGATGTGACTTAAGATTCTCAAAATTAGTGGGGCTCTCAGAACTTTGTTTCAAACCAGAAGTGGTAAAGAATATGAAATAAAAAAATTCTTTCTTTTGGTGAATTATGTAGAGTTCTCATTGTCTCTTGGTAAAGATGTCACAAAGTAATGCATGGGACTGCTGTACTGGGTTAAAAAAGGGGACACTTAGTCCAAGATTGTTGTCTGCCAGCTTACTGCTCTGAAAGAAGGTGGCTTATGTAGTAAGAAGATGACAGATTGATCACCACTACCTTGAATATCATGCAAGTCCCCAATAATGAAAGTGTGATAAAACCTGCAAGTTGTAAATGTTAATATATACCCAGCAAAAAATTAATAATGTTAGTTTTTATAAACATAATTAGCTTTGTTTACTTACACACAATATTTTGATCTGCTGTAGCCAGCAGACCAAGAGAGGTGGTTCTGCCCCTTTACTCTGCTCTTGTGAGACCCCACCTCGAATACTGCATCCAGTTCTGGTGCCCCCACCATAAGAGGGACGTGGATCTGTTGGAGCATGTTCAGAGGAGGCCACAAAGATGATCCAGGGGCTGGAGCACCTCTGCTACGAGGACAGGCTGTGGGAGCTGGGATTGTTCAGTCTGGAAAAGAGAAGACTTCGGGGGGACCTAATAGCTGCCTTCCAATACCTGAAGGGAACCTACAGGAAGGCTGAGGAGGGGATCCAGTGATAGGACAAAGGGAAATGGGTTTAAATTGAAGGAGAACAGATTTAGATTGAATCGTAGAAAGAAATTGTTCAGTACAAGGGTGGCAAGACTCTGGAAGAGGTTGCACAGAGAAGTTGTGGGTGCCCTGTCCCTGGAGATGTTCAAGGCCAGGTTGGATGAAGCCTTGAGTAGCCTGGTCTAGTTGAGAGACATCTCTGCCCATGACAGGGAGGTTGGATTAGATGATCTCTAAAGTCCCTTCCAACCTAAGACATTTGATTCTATGATTTCCTCAGCCTCTGTGACTTCCTGTGGCAAGGGGCTGTGACTAGTATCTAATCACATTCTGTAAAAATTATTTAAACCTCTTGCTTTTGAAATGCTGCCTATTCAGGCATCTGAGTACTCCTTTAAGTTTGGGATTGCATGTTCTGTGTACTAGTCATTACTTACACACTTTTTACCAGTTACTGTCTTATTTAAGGTAAACTATGTTTTTCTCCCAAAATCTTCATTAGATGTTTTTTCAGGCCAAATCATTCTCTTAGTCTTTCTCTGAATCTCCTTTTTGGACATTATATTTAAATAGTAGTAAAATTGTTGCAGTTATTTTTATGATAGATCTGGTATTATTATTTATTATTATTTTGTTTTTATTATTATTATTAAGCAAGATTCTATAGACAGGGAATTTCTGAGTAACTTAAAAGTGTGTCCTAAAGCTTGCTAGAAGACACAAAGCTGTGAAGGGGGCTCTGAAGACCCACAGGAGTGCGTTGGTCTGACAAGAATGCCGTTGCTTTGAAGAGATGCTCTCATTTAGAAAAGTAAAGCACAGAATAGTGCTGTTGGAATGGCAAACTTCACGCACAGCTAGTGTGTCAATCAGAAAGCTCTAATTCAGTCATAGGTTCAATCTTTCTGATACAAATCATGTAAAAAATGCAAGCAACACATGTATCTAATATAGCCAAATTCAGCCTTTTGTCTGCCTTCACAAGAAAAGGTTTAAGGAGCCCACTAGTTATGATATACATGGGTGACAATTTACATGCTAGTTAGGACAAGTGTCAGCCATTGTGCAGGTTTTTCTGTCTAATAAACCAGGGCAAGAAGTGTTTACTGACACTGAAACGCTGTTGAAGACTTTGTGACAGAAAGTAATCACCTTCTTGAAAATGTAGATAATTTTGGGAAGTGATTACTTCTGCACATGCACACACAAAGGCAGAAAACTCTAAAAGGGTGTTTCTGGTTCAAGATGTTTTCTCTTGTTTGTGTCATTATTTTAAAATCTAAATTGGGACTAAGCCCTGCATCTGAATTGCTGCACTGTGAGAAAAATTAATGTACTGTGAAAGCGATTGCTGTGTTTCCTCTTCTCTGCTTCCCTTTTGAAGTGAGAGAGGCTGATTTGCATGGTGCAGGTCCTCTCGAATCAGAAGCATGGTTAATCTTAGCACCAGGGAAGTCCAAGCTGGAAAAGATATATTAGGTCAACTGTGTGTGCAGGGTATTTACAAATGCTGTAGGTTACAAAGATCAACTAGGGACATCGGGAGTTTTGCAGAGGTACTGAGAAGTAGCCTGGTTGTTACACTCTCTCCTCATACAGAACAAAATCATTTTTCAGCCATAGTGTGAATTGGAGAGAAATATTGTTCCATGGTTTAATTACTAAATAAATTTGTTCCTGATAAAGGGTATGTAAAATTGTGGTTTCAGAGGGAACAGTATCCCATTCAGAGGAACTGGGCTCCCCTGTAAAGAGAGATGCAGAGCTACTGGAGAGAGTCCAGTGAAGGGCCACAGACATGGTTAAGGGACTGGAGCATCGCTCCTGTGAGGAAAGGCTGAGAGAACTTAGACTGATCAATCTGGAAAAGAGAAGGCTTGGGGGAATCTCATCATTGTATGTAACTAACTGAAGGGAGGATGAAGAGGATGGAGCCAGGCTCTTCTCAGTGGTGCCCAGTGACAGGACTAGAGGCAATGGGCACAAACTGATACACTGGAGGTTCCCTCTGAACGTCGAGAAACGTTTTTTCACTGTGAAGGTGACTGAGCACTGGCGTAAGTTGTCTGGAGAGGCTGTTGGATCTTTATCCTTGGAGATATTCAAAGGGTGTCTGGACACAGTCCCAGACAGCCATCTCTAGGTGGCCCTGCCCAGCAAGAGGAATTGGACGAGATGCCCTCCACAGGTCCCTTCTGGGTTTCTGTCACATATAGGAAGATAAAGATAATACTGCTACTGCAATGTGAAGATATGCCAGCACGTCTTTTGTAGTCTTTTGGGTTTAGTTTTTCCATAAGTACTCTTTGGGCTTCCAGGTTGGCCTCTTCCTCTTGCACATTTTGGAGGAAGTTAGCTTATGGTATGGGAGGACTAAGAAAATCCTAGGAACAAAAAGCAGATCCCCGTATCCCCCAAGCACTTGGCTGTGCTCCTGTGTGACTTGTGCAGAGAATCTTTGTCACTTACGAAGTGGGCAGGTGAATCTCCTCCAACTCTGAAGAGTTTCTGTTACACAGAGAAAACTTGCTATAAAGGACCATCAATTTCCCAGTTTTGTCCATCACTGCAAGTGCATTTAATTTTTGGGGGGCATCAGCTGTGCTGACATGATAGATGAAAACAGCATGGCAGAGCTGTGGTCACGTTTTATGGAAGCGCTTAGAAAGCTGCAGCCTGTGCTTTTTGCCCTCATGTTTAATGGGCTGTATGGAGACAAGCTAGAGATGGAGCTACTGTTGCATTCCTCTGCTCTTCAGCTGAGCGATGGCCGTAGTTGGTGAAGGAGGAGTGATGTGCTGACAGGCAGTAGGATGCAGAGAAGCTGCATCCTCAGTCTCTTCCCCAATATCCCAATATCTCCTGTAAATTGCGATCACCTGAGACATTGTCTGGCTTCTGACAGCACTGGACCTTTGTAGCTCAAGCAAGTTGTTCCTAGTATAACCTTGCAGGGAATTATTGCAAAAGCGAGGAAGGAGAAAGCTGCATCTTGTAAGCTTGTTCACAAAGCTGTTCGTCTTCAGTCCTGGAGATCTGGTCAGAAATGGTAGACTTGACTTTGTTATTGTCTGAGTTCATATCACAGCTTGTCCTGATTAAGGCCGCGAAAGAATCTGGGGGTGGCCTGGCTGTCCAAGATACTACTCTGTCAAAATAAACTTGAGAATAAATACCTAAACACTAACAATTTTTGGAGGATTCTATTTGTAGCATGTAGAGAAGAACATGGCTCTCTGTGTAAGATGTCGCAGTCCTCAGACTTGCGTACTATTGCTCGTATCACATTTAATTTTTAACAGAAGTCTAAACTGCAGAGACTTGCTTTCTGCCACGGTATGAAAGGATTTTTGACCATGGGGTTCAGTGCATCCGGGCAGCTTCTTTAGTGATGGGATGAACCAGAGTAGCACTGCAAGAGCAGGGCCTATGTTTTATGCATTTTTGTTCCTAGTGTGCACTGATATGATGTGAACCATAATGCTCTGTGGTATTAATAATCCATGAAGAGAATTCTCAAGCAAGGCTAAGAGAAAAGTTAACAAGCCAAATGGAGCCATTATAGTGTATTTTATTAATGAGACACATTTTGCTTTCATCTCAGGTGTAAAAGAGTCTCTCATTTGGTAACTCCCAAATTAGAATATAAGTAGTATGCATTTTGAATGTGTATTTTCTTATGCAGCTGTGAGAAAAATCAGAGTAAATCATACCACAGAAGTACTGTCATTAAAATAAAAGGCATTTAAAATGAACCAAGAAAACTTGCTGGTACATCTCATCAGTACCAGAAATGGATTCATACAGTACATACACGAGATGAATGTTAGTTTCAAAGAATCTGAATTTTCTGTCAGGTGTTCTAGAGTAAGCAAGAATTTCATTGCTTACCTATCTTTTTCAACTCATGTTTAGGCAGCAAACTGACCATATATTCATTCATGTCATATGGTAAGGAAAACGGTGACATAGTAGGTGCTGGGTTTACTCCCGGAGCTGTGTTCAGTTCCGCTAAGGCAGACGTTCGTGAAGGGCTCAGAGCTGCAGGTACAGCACGAAGCGGGAGTCATGCAGTGCTGTGACTACTCCTTCTCACAGCTCCCTGTGCATCACTGCAATCCTTCTGAGATTTAAACTGAACATTAAATTTGCTGTCACCTAGTGAAGCGCTCTGAAGTCACCAATTTTACCTCCGCCTGCACAAAGGCTGAAGTTTCTTACGTGTTTGGTAAGAGTGTGTCTGCACACAGGTTCTCAGGGTAGTGATAATGACCTGACATAAGCACTAGGACTTTGTTGAGCTGGGGTGGTCCAGATGCATACCAAAATGATGCTGCCTGCACCATCTCTGATGTGGCCCTCAGCCCAAATCAAGCTAATGGTCGTTTTACTGGTAACAGATGAGTGAGAGAGGTGACAAATTCCAGTTTTGCCAAAGTGTCAAGAGCCCATTTTGTTGTAGACACCATGGCCTGTGCTTATAGAGTTCATGGCCACTTTTCCTCAGTGTTTTGGTGTCCCATTCCTCCCAATACCTGATGAAATATATGAACGTAAGAGAGATGGGGATAAATTCTCTCCAGTGCTCTTATCAGCTCGTTTGCTTTATGTGTTGCCACCAGAGAGTCAGAGTAGACCGTTGTGCTGCAGAAAACATGAGTATGGGTGAGGCATTGTAGTCACCTCGAGTATTGTGTTCAGTTCTGGGGTCCACAGAACAGGAAGGACATCGAGGTGCTGGAGAAGGTACAGAGAAGGGCAACCAGAAGGATTAGGGGACTAGAGAGTAGGTGTTATGAAGAGAGGCTTAGGGAGCTGGGGCTGTTGAGCCTGGAGAAGAGGAGGCTGAGGGGTGACCTTATTGCTCGCTACAACCACCTGAAAGGCAGCTGTAGTGAGACGGGTGTTGGCCTCTTCTCCCTAGTGAACAGCAATAGGACAAGAGGGAACAGGTTAAAGTTGCACCAGGGAAGTTTTAGATTGGATATCAGGAAAAACTTCTTCACCGAAAGGGTGATGAAGCACTGGAATGGGTTGCCAAGGGAGGTGATGGAGTCACCATCCCTGGACGTGTTTAAAAAACGGCTGGATGTGGCACTTCAGGAGATGGTTCAGTGTTACGATGGTGTAGGGCTGTACGTTGGACTTGGTGATCTTAAGGTCCTTTCCAACCTTTATGATTCTATGATTCTAAGGTAAACTTTCTGTAAGTAGAACCCTAGTTGGATAGATCTCTTCAGTGAGCGTAAAATACGATTACATCTTTTATGTTAAATGTGTGGTCACAATTGCTTCACAGAAATAATGATATTAATCAGTATATTCAATAGAGTACGTGACAAAGTGGGAGTTGAGCTAGTGTTCTCCTTTAGGGTGTGGAGTGGAACGGTAGGAGCAGTACAAATAAGCTGCTTCTTAAGCAGAAAGAGAATATTTAGCATATGTTTTTCTGATAGATATTAATTGTATACCTGAGCTTTAAGAGCAGATTTGACCTGTAATTGTCATTTCTTCTTATTAGAATATTTAGAGGTATATCTTTGTTAAGCTTTGACCTGACCATGTTTGGAAAAATATATTTAATAATCATGCAGGTGAATGTTTTGTGATACACATAGTGGCTTTTCTCAGGTGGTGATCCTTCTTTTTAAAAAGGTGATGGAAGATGAAGTAATTGGAGCAATCCCTTAAGATGTGGGAATTAGTTGCTTTCTTTGCTACCCATTTCTTATGTAATGATGATAAATAGTATAAGAAAATTGTGGACTCCAATTCAGAGGTGTACTCATTATGGTGATACTGTCTAGGTTGTTGCTGAATAAGGAAATGAGGCTATTTCACTGAGTCATGAAAATTTTAGCTCTTTTGAGAAATATAGAAATATTTTTGCAATGTTGAAATCGGTATGGTAGGGGACAAGAGTTGTATTTATGTCCTTCTCTTTTCATTTCTTTTAATTTTTCAAATCAATTTTATATGATAAACTCCAAGATCAGTGCTTGTTATTCTTATATATTATTATTATTAATACTATTTTAATATCTATTTTATGTTTGGAAAGCAGAAAATAATTCACTACTTTTCTCTTCACAAACAGAAAAATGAAACAGCCACAGATCCTTCCACTCTTGGCATGGGCTCTGTGATAAGAAGCTATAATATTTTAAATCTTGCTCTGAACCCTGGAGGAGTGCAGTCCTGGCAGCATATCTTTGTTGGTCATGAGAATCCTCATTTGATTGCACTTTCCTGTAATGTTCCGTTTTGAGTACTGAGGGTTACAGGAAGGATTATAAGCATGAGACTGGCATGCGTAAAATGGTTATAATCATGGTATTTAAAGATGCTCCAGAATCTTGCAAGCAATCCATGGACTCTCTTCATTATGAGGCAATTTGTGTGGACATTCATTAAAACATCTCTGACTGTTTGAATATTTTATGGGCCACTTACAAATGAAAACTGATTTTTACAATTAGGGCATGGATTTTTTTTTTTTCACTGCAGTGTTGTATCAGTTGCAAAATAAAAAGGAATTCTATCGTAAATATTTGTGCTACATCTGGCACTTGCTCCTAGGCTCTTAGCTATTGCTGGAATCCAACTTCACCTGATTACAAATTCCTCCTAGTCCGAGTGCTGTGTGGCGCTGAGCGACTTCAAGCACACTGATCGTATTCCCTCCTTTTAGGTTACTATCATAACAGCACGAAAGTGGCTGTGAAGACTCTGAAGCCTGGAACAATGTCTGTGCAAGCCTTCCTGGAGGAAGCCAACCTCATGAAAACTCTCCAGCATGATAAGCTCGTTAGGCTTTATGCTGTAGTGACCAAAGAAGAACCTATTTATATTATAACAGAATTCATGGCTAAAGGTGAGAACAGCATTGGATCCACAAGCAGTGTTTTAGTAAACCTTTCTGCTTCTCATAAATCAGTCCCCTTTCTTTAAAAAGAAAAACTTGGGATTTTAAGGTTATTCTTTTGAATGTTCCAACATAAAGTGGTGGAGCACCTATCCTAGAGGAGGGCTGAGCCTTTAATTTTAGGATTCATTGTTGTATTTGTGAAATGAGCTATTTTTACATTTTCTTAAATGTAGCATTTTAAATTGTTTCAGATGCAGAAGATAACCCCTAAATTAGCTCTTGTTCCTTTGGGCTTTCTGCCTAACTTCTGTGTCTGGTGTCATAGCTAGGCAATTAAAACTAACCTTAGAAATTGCCTTACGAGGCCGTTGAATTGATAAGGACGTAAATAATATGGTAAGTGTTGAGTGGTCCTGGAAGGATGACTGCAACCATTTATTAGAATTTATTAGAACATTGCTACACAAAACAAGTGACATTTCCTTCTCAGATTGTCTTGGGTGTTTTTCTGAGTTTGTTCTGTTTTCAAGCAATTCTGCTGATAACTTCGTAAAGAAGTGTTGGGCCACTTGTTCTTTATGGCTTGGAAAGGTTTGATGTGTGTGATTCTCCACAACAGCTTTCCTGATAGTCCATAGACTATGGTACTTGCCAAACTCAACGCACTGATCTAAGCTATGGTCTGACTGACATTTTCTACACGCAGTAAAATGGCAAAATGTGGATGCCTGACGTGTTGGCTTAAGTATTACCGTTGTTAAATCATGTAAAGAGACTGCATTACTGTAGTCTGCTTGAAAATATATCAAAACACTTCACTGCAAAAGAATTGTGATCCAGAAAATTAAGTACCTTTGTTTTGGCAATAAACTGCACTGACTTAATCTTTCTCTGTTGCCACAGGAAGTTTGCTGGATTTTCTGAAGAGTGATGAAGGAAGTAAATTATTGCTTCCAAAGCTAATTGACTTCTCTGCTCAGGTAAAGAAATATGCTCAAAATTAAAGGGTCTGTTTCTCTCAGAGTCCTAAACTCAGACTGAGCAACTTTATCCTTTTTTTTTTTTTTGCATCAAAGAAGAAATTAATTTTCAAATCATTTTTTTGTATGAGCAAATAAGGTTAATTGAAAGGAGGGATTAAATTAAAGAGGGAATATGTGAAGTTAGGCTTAGCTCTTAGAGACTGCTGGTGACCTGCTTAGATGGCAGTGCTATGCAGACACTTTCCTTTGTGGAAAGGCTGCTTTTAATTTGAGCAATTGTGAATTGAAAGTGTAAGTACAGATTCGTGAGCTTGTGCTTATGAGATTCATTCAGTGTTAATAAATGTGTCTTTTATACTTCTTAAATTAGGTGAATTGGTCAAACTTCTCTTAACCTCAAAGGACTACTGTTGGTTTCAGATTCTTACGTACATTACTGTGAAATAAATTTAATCAAATGATGTTTCAGCTACTAATATCTGGTTTAGGAACCCAGATGGTTGTTTTGAAATGTAGAAGTTATCCCATGTCAGAATCGAAATCTGTAGAGAGAGACGCCAGAGTGATTTGTGTGTCAAAGCCTGGATCAAATATGCCTGGAGGCCGATATTTTACCTCTTACAGTTACCAGCATTAGATGTCCAGGAAGGAATACGGAAAATAAAGTAACGATTCTGCTTTTGCGAGATGTAATTCATGTTACAAATAGCCAATAAAGGTGGTTTTGGTAGGTCATTGTTTCACCAGCATTTCAAGTTTTTTAATATGCAGAATTTGCAGACTGTTGTACTCTATTAAACCAACTTTTTACAATTCATGAGGAAAGATGAAAAGTTTAAAAAGATCTAATAAATCATTAGTGTGTTGCCTGATCCAGTTGAGAGATCCCTGCCCATGACAGGGGAGTTGGATTAAATGATCTCTAAGGTCCCTTCTAGCCTAGGCCATTCTGTGATTCTGTGATTCTATGATTAGTGATTTATACAAAGAAAACCACTCTAAGAATATTATATAACTGTTTTATACATTGTTATACAAATTAGGTATTAGGAAGCATTTTGTTACCAAGAGTGATCAAACACTGGAACAGGCTTCCTGAAGAGGTGGTTGATGTCTCCAAGACTGTCAGTGTTTAAGATGCATTTGGACAAAGCCCTTAATAATTTGCTTTAGTTTCGGTCAGCCCTGAAGCAGTCAGGCTAGATGGACTTGATGGTCATTGGAGGTCCTTTCCAAGTAAAACTGTTCCATTCTGTAGTATATTATATATCACATATTGTTATATAAATGTTCAGTTTATCAAATACAGATTTTTTTATGGTATAGATTCAATACAGGAGCTGTTTTTTTCATAATTGTTGATCCTAATTGTTGATGTAGCTATAGGCTTTCTAAGTTTTCTGAACTCTTTGGATAACTTGTTCTTGAGAATTAAGCTGAGCAAAAGCATTATAGATGCAGAAAACCTACTGGATCCAAGAGCATGCTCTGGAGAGATGAATAACAATGGACAGGAAAAAAAATGTAGCTTTGAAAATAGTGCGTAGAATTCAAAGGAGAGAAGAACATCTGTGAACAGTGATATGAAAGGAAACCTAGGATGTGGAGAGGAAAGCATGTGGTTTTATAGCAGACCTTTTTATTGGAGTTAGGGAAGTTATGTTCTCTTTAAATTAATATTGTGGTTTCAGAAATTTAATGCTGTAAAAGCTTAACGAACGAGGGAGCAACTCTGTGTACAACTTGGGTAAATCACTTCCAAGGTCACCGGGGTCAGCAGTTGTCATTTACAAACTTTGAAGGTCAGGTCACTTGATATGGACTTACCGTATCACCCTGACCTGACAAGAACCTCTCAGAGCCAGTTCCTGCACTTGGGCTCAAAGGCCGGGACATCGTGAAGCACAGGCGACAGGAGAAGTCCCTCTCTTCACATAAGAGCCAGGCTGTCAACAGAAATTCCAGAGAGTGAGACATGCCTTGGGTTGCAAAGTCATCTTGAAAGGATGTTCAGGAAGGCGTCTCTGAAAATTTCTAGCTGCAGCCCAAACAAAACCTGGGCATGGAGATACTGGGATTTTTTTCTCATGGAAAGAATTTGTAGGGTTTTTTGAGCACATCTGTAAAGAGGCCTTAATGTCACTGGGTAGTAATAGGACTGTGTGGAATAGGCTTGCATGCTGCGTGTGGTTCTCAGGCAAGAGGTTTCCTCTGACCAACACACATATTCCACTGGTCTTCTCTAACTCTGACAATCTGAATGTTAATTGATGGGTCTTCAGGGCAAAAGACAAAGATATTTTCCAACTCTTTTGGCCTACTGCTAAGTAATGGTAGTTTAATCACAGACCTGTGGATCACCCTTTTCCAGAATGTAGACTGTATATAAAGAACATAAAATGTGTCTACTGTTTTTAGTATGACTCTGGTTTGTACAAATGAGACACTAATTTATTCATACAGCAGTGATGTTAACCTCTCTCTACAGCCTCAGGGAAAAGAAATTTGGAGAGCTGTGTTAAAAAAAAGGGAGGGAAAAGTTATGTGTTTTTTTTTTTTCTTTTAAATAACATGGAAGGAAGCTCATGGTGAACTATTTAAATAAGATCAGGAGTATTTTTTTGCTTTGATGGACACACAATTGAGCTCTTTGTGTCTGTCTAATCACACTGTTCTGGCAAGGCAGTTTACCAGACTATCCCAGCTTCTCAGAAAGACTGAAAATGCAAGAAATGGTGGCTGAGGATTGGCTTCCTTTTCCTGTTGTTACATTTCTGATGCTGCACAAGGCTGACCTGCTCCCAACTACACTACACAGCTAACTTGCTCACAGCCATGTCTACACATAAGATGTCTGCTGCAACAAAAATTGATGAAAGAACCCAATCCACTGGAGAAGGGTGTTACCAATGGACTTGTGATACAGCAGGAGGAAAATGGGCAAGAAATGGTTCCACTTAATATGTTGCCTTTTTATCCAGAGGGATGGCCTTTGCCATCTGAGAATGGTCTTGTCAGATAAGAAGGGCCTGGGAATGTGAGAAAAGGAGGTTAGGATATCTCTGTGACTACCAGGAAGCTGAAGAATGTAGTGCAAGTAGTCAAACATGATGATGCCCCCAGCTGAAGCTGATTTTCCAAGTGGTGAGGAAGAGTGCTCTGGGTTGGTGTTTCCGTTGCCAGACTGCTGTTAGTGCTCCACTTGCTGACATTGTAAGGACTTTGCCATGAACAGTCTTGAAATCTGCCTTTACAAGGGGTGAAACATTCTGATTTTGCAAAAACAAAAGAAACAGCTGTTCCTCCAGGTGCAATAAACAGCTTTTAAAAGATAGCATTTTTCAAGCAAGTAGTCAAATATACTCCTACTCTGCTATACTGATTTTGGTGTTTTGTTAGCATAACATCCACACTCACTGACTGCTGGTTTTGATGATAGCTGAGTACTGAGGACAGACTTATTAATAGGGCGTGTTGCAATAGGGCAAGGGGTAATGGTTTTAAACTAGAAGATGGTAGATTTAGACTAGATATGAGGAAGCAATAATTTACAATGAGGGTCGAGGCGCTGGAGTGGGTCCAGAGGAGAGCAGCGAGACTGGTGAAGGGACCAGAGGGAAAGTGCTGTGAGGAGAGGCTGAGGGAGCTGGGGGCATTTAGCCTGGAGAAGAGGAGACTCAGGGGGGACCTGATCACTCTCTACAACTGCCTGAAGGGAGGGTGCAGTCAGGTGGGAGTCAGGCTTTTCTCCGGGGCAACCAGTGACAGGACGAGAGGGCTACCTGCTTTAGTACAGAGCAGAGATGTGGCATCTCCTGTGGAAGTCAGCAGAATTGTCAGAAACGGACAGGAGTATGAAGAAGGCAAAACCTGAGCCCACTTCCCTGCCTGCGTGACTGCTGCTGGTCTGTGGGTCAGCAGCACAGCAACCTCACGGGCTGGTCTCATGACTGCTGAGTATCTGGCAGGCATCAGCTGGCACGGTTGGCAAGCGGTTCCCCTTGCTGGGGCTTCTGCCCTCAGCTCAGCCAGCGCGCTCGGTGAACCCAAAGCTGCTGTTAGCTCTTGTTTCCTAGAGACAAGCTGGAGTGTAAGTGAATTTCATCACTTCGTGCATGAGCTATACTGCTAAATGTTGCTAACACAGCAGGCCAAGATGCTCCACGTGGACTTTGCCCCTATTCCTCTTGGTCATCTACAGGCAAGAAACACTGGTTTATTAGGTTCTTCCCTCCCTGCTTCAAAGTCCTCTGCTGCCTTTGGTGCTTTCTCCAAACAGAGAGTTCAGAGTTCTCTAGTTCAGAAACTACAAAGGGTCAGAAAGTAGGGAATGCATATTTTCAAAGCAACACTATTTATGCTTTTGTTACCATTTTCTTTCAGAATTTTGAAAGAGTTTTATACCTATTTGTGAAATGACCCACAACCATTCCAGAAAGTTAAGTAATTACCCTGTTTTACAGGTAAAAGGAACAGAAACATGCCCCAAATGGGTGACAGGTGCAGCTCCGAGTCATTCATTTACTGCACAGTTCTTACCTGAAGCTTTACGGTACAGAGGCTGTCTTGTGGAGTGATTAATTTCTCCCAGAAGACTTTTTTTTTCCGTTCTTGCCCTACATGTATAGTATTTACACATTTGTTGGTTGATCATTTTTTAAAAGGATTTAGCTTGTGTATTTCTAGAAGCACGTCAGTAATTCATTAAAGGTGAAGGGGAGACTGTTCCATTCTTGGTAGTAATGCTTGTGCAGTATAGACAGAATCGTCTCTTATAGGCCACAAAACATTCCAGAAGCCCAAATTAACTTTCCCATCCTGCTCCACAGTAGTAGTTAGATGTAGCCGAACAGTCTTGACAGGTACCAATGATCATTATAAAAGGAGGCAAAAGCTTTTAATTTTCTTTTGTTGCCATGAATTTCTCTACTTTTAACATATAATTTGGCAATGAAACCCTAACAATTATCCTGAAGAGTTATCATATGGGCTCTGGCACCTCGATCAAAAAATCCTTTTTTTTTTTTTCCCCCCACAAGCAAAGTTTTTAACACGATGAGATGTGTAAATTCAGTTATCCAGTTGCTGTGTTTCCCTTCCTTATCCCATTCAAAATTCCTTGCCCATTATTCTTTTCCTACCCAGGAATTTTTTGCACGCCCAAATGCTTGCACATATGTGGCTTCTTTGAATTTCTCTGATTCAGTGCTGTCAAAACCATTGTCCTGGAATTTCACAGAAGTGGAGTTTGTGTTTGCTGAGAACATAATGGATCATTTGATGTCAAGCTCTTCATTTGTGACTTATCAGGTGAATTTACTGAGTCTGACACAAGTAAGAGGAAATAAAACGGTCTTTCCTATGGCTTTGGGCTTGGAAACTAAATATCACCATCATGACTGTCTCTCTTTTGAAGCGGTTCTTCCTCCTCTAGCCAGCAGTTTCTCCAAATGTTAAATCTGTGCAGTGAAGTCGGAGGAAAGCTGGTGCCTTTGTGATGGCTGATGTATTTTTAGTGACATTAGTGGACCTGTCTGCATTTTGGTTGTATATGCCAAGATGGCGAGTCCAATCTTAGCATTGATCTTATGGCAAAACCTTCCCTTTCATCCCTCATTCCTCTTAAAACTCAAGTAATGGCATGGGGAGGAGAGAGAGGGAGAGCGGACTTTGAATCAAATACTACTCTTGTATTTCGTCTGTAAGACCTTCTGTGGCAATTATTTGCTAATAGCTGCTTCCTTCATCACAAAACATCTTACTTCTTTCTAGAAAATGTGTAATGCAGATGTTGTTCATTCTCTTCATCACCAGTGTTTCTGGTTTAGTGTGAGAACCCCCCTGCGTTGTTCAAGGCCAGTGTAGCACCCTGCTCTGAAGAATATATCAGTTTTTAAGAAAAGATTTGCAGTTGAAGGAGGTGGGAGGGCGAGTGGCTCTGTTTTTCCATTGCCTAAACCAAAAAAAAGGGAACAAAGACTGTGTGGTTTTGTGCTGTGAGTGGTGGCGGTGTGTGCCTTCGCAGCACCCCTCGGGGACTTTTTGAAAACAGATAAGCAGATGTAATGTTTACTTAAAATTTGCTCAAGTGCTCCTGCCCGCTTTACTGCACAGCTAAAACGAGCCCCTCGGGTGCTGGGAAGGGATCCGAGTGTTTGTCTTCTCCTGAGGTGGAGAGGAATGAAGCCCGTGTATGAGTGTGCTGGGCACTGGAGAAGGGTCCTCACTGCTTTACCATGGCTTCATCAGCAAATCTGTGCGCCCCCCAAACTATGTGGCTGAGCGCGAGCTGCCTGTCCCCCCGGGGAGGTGCTGGTGGCACAGGCTGGGCTGGGGGCCTTGCCTGGGAATGGCCCATCACCAAGGGCTCACAAGGAATGGAAAACCTGAGAGCTCACAAGCACCGGGTTTATTTCTTTTTTTCTCTTAAACTTTTGGACAGAATACAATCTACACATCAATTTTATTAGTCTGAATTTAGAAACCATTATTTTGGGGGTTTGTTTGGGTTTTTTTCCTCCTAATAAAACGTTATTTTTTCAGAGGGAATTAAAAAAGTCATTTGAGCAAATACAGAAAAAATCCTCAGTACATATTTTGAGGACATTAATCATCTTTAATTTGATTTGGAAATTAATTTGGGCTGCTGAAATACAAATTAAATTAACTTATGATAGTATCAAAGAGCTGTGTATTGCCAGACACTTCTCATATATGAACAGGTACATGCTGCTGTAGAAAAAAATGTTGTTTGCTCTGTAATTGCTTCCTCATTGTCCAAGCCTATACTGGGTAAATAGAAAGTTGTTGGTTTGGGTTTTTTTAATTCTATCTGCACCATTGCTTCATCAGTCCTTAAATGAACATCTGTATCTTGTTTAACTTATTCTTTCCTTTTTCTTGGTATTTGGAAAATAAAACTGGTTAATAATTTGGGGAAGAGATTTTTGTAGTAGAAATCCTAGGAACATTTTAGTTAAGATTTTGTTTCAGGAAATGTCTCTATTAGATATCTCTAATCCTGCAGCTGGTTTTCACTTGACCAATTCTTTTGAAGCTGCTCCTGTAAGTGTAGTTTTGCAGGACTGGATCTACACACAGGGTTTCTGTGGCAGTCATCCTTTCCTTGCTTCCATCTAAAAAATGCTTCAAAGACAGTGATAATGAATAAACGGATGTGGGGCTGCTGATACTGTGAAAAAAGAGAGAGGTCAGACCTGCTATAGTGTTGTGTGATGTCAAAATATCAAAATAGTTATTTCTTTGGTTACAGATTGCAGAAGGGATGGCATACATAGAAAGAAAAAATTATATCCATCGAGATCTGAGAGCAGCGAATGTTCTGGTTTCGGACTTACTGATGTGCAAAATTGCTGATTTTGGACTAGCAAGAGTCATCGAAGACAATGAATATACAGCAAGGGAAGGTATGTAGTTTTATTTTTGTCTTTAAAACTTCAGCCTCTGGGAGGCAGGGAGGCTGTATCTAACAACATTGTGGTCACCAAGGACAGAAAATGCCATGATAACTTCCTAGACACAGCGTTCTGATGCTGGCAACTTTAAAAAGGAACAAGGAAACAAATAACACTTCTGTGCTCCTCAGCTTTTTTTAAAGTTTTTTTTTTTTAAATATATTTGAAGAACAAACTAAACTGAGAGTATTCAACTGCACACATTTTTTTCTAAACTGTACAAATTTATTGCGCAGCTGCAGCTTCTATTCTATGGAATTAAATGCCAAGAAAATATGATCTTAGTTTATCTTCATATCCTTCAATGCCACACGCATCTCCTTTCACTTAGGGAAAGGAAGGAGCCCTAGGGGCTGCTAATAAGAAAACCTTTAGCAGGACTGGTCACCTTCAGAAGCTGCTTGAGGAACTGCAGCTTTGATTTGCATGTTCAGTTGTAGGGACACCGGAGGGCTGGGCCGTGTCCCTGCTCAGCACATGGGTAGGAGGTGACATCACAGCAGGATGAGAATTGGCAAGAGGGGAAATCATACTATTAACAGTCTTTGTCGGGGTTTTGCCATGTGTGTTTTGCTAATGTTGTCAAGGATTCTTTCAAGAAGTGTGTAGTCAGTTTGCTGCAGTGAAAAGTTTTTGTTTATGCTTCCGTGTGCGGATGGCGTCAGGGTAACTTCTCTGAGCAGGTTTTTGCTGGCTGGCTTTCCCCTTTTTGTTTTAAAGACAGCGCATCATGTTTCCACACAGTCTGGATGGAAACTGTGGTAATGTAGGACAGGAATGGAAGAACTAAGGTATGAGGAAGAAAGAGAGGAATGCACTACAGTTGAGATTAAAGGAAGACAAGCTAGTCAGCAGTCACTGCCCAACAGGAATTCAGTAGATCAGAGGGAAGGGTCTGCTGAAGCAGAGGTACAGAACTCATATCCAGTTTCTAGCTAGTTCTGGATGTTATATACTGTTTAAATGAACCCTTCAGGTTATAAATTCTTCAGTGCTGAGTTTCCTTGATGTGTTTTCTGCCATTCAGAAAAGTTTCCCAGCTTACCTGCTATTTTGTGCCAGAATGAGAGAGCAGGCTGAGAAGAGCATAGAGAGAATCTGCTTGTTGTCTGCTGTCTCTTTGTTGTCTGAAGAGCTAATGTAATATTCCCCAACAAAAGCTGCTTGAACTTCTTCTAACAGGAAGAAGTTTGCTTTTATATGGGATTTTCTGGAATCAGTTAATTAGACATGAAAGACTGTATTTTAAGATAGGATTTGCTACTGCTTTTGCATCTATAGCTGAATGTGAAATGCATTAAAGTGTATGTTGAAGCTACACTGACTTTCTTTAAAGTAGGAAAAGTCTTGTGAAGTTCTAGGTGATGGGAATTGTAAGATTGTTGCCTGACGGCTGGGCAGAAGGGGAAAAGGTGACTAATTTTAGCAAAAAATTACCATACTTTAGACCATACTTTATTTGCACCTTTGCTAAACCACATGTCCTGTGCCAACACGCATCCTGCAGTACATCTCTGCTGATAACTCTCGGACAGAAGGAGTTGCTGGTAGCTTTGCTAACTTCAGCTTTTCATAGGCAAATCATTTAAGGCCTTTTAATGACTTGATATTGAGTGTTTAAAATTGCCTTTAACTGATTGAGACTACCTTTTCTTAGGTGCAAAATTCCCGATTAAATGGACAGCACCAGAGGCAATTAACTATGGATCTTTCACTATTAAATCCGATGTGTGGTCGTTTGGAATTCTCCTGTATGAAATCGTCACATATGGAAAGATTCCTTATCCAGGTATGGGCATGTGTTTATACTGTACTTATACTTTGGTGTTAAAAAGCAAACAAAATATACAGGGAAAAAGCTCACTACGGACAGTAATGACAGCAGTGATTTGGAAAATGTTTTGCAGGTAATGTTACTGCTTTGGAAGCTTACACTCACTGTGTGTTTAAACTACAGGCCTCTCTGGGGTAAATTTTAGCAGATAGACTAACATGTGGTCATTTTTTTATATTCAAAAGGTGTTACAACTGCAGCAAATGCTGTGTTGTCACAGATCCTGGCTTTACAGTCAGCAGCACGGTCCCACAGCAAGGATGCAGTGCTACAAGTTCTCACGGTGCTGTGTCAGCTGCTGGGGTTTTTAATATCATAATACGTTAAAGTACTAAGAAAGCATGTTTTCACAGGCAAATAGGCTGCAATAATGTGTGTTAGCTAATCTAAACAAATATGAAAGCAGATCCTAAAGCAGTGTTGACATACTGCTAGGACTATTTACTCTTCCTTGTTCCACACAGTTCAGGTACAGGGCCACAGAGGAGTACATCAGTTATGGCTGCTGTGAAATAGTTATGTGCTTCATGTTGCATTTTTCTTTTTGTTAAACAAAATATGTATTAATGTTTCCAGCACACAAAGACAGCTTGTATGAAGGGTATTTTTATGTACACAAAATTGTCACATCTAAGGCATAGCTGATTAACCCCGGGCAGCAGACTGTGTTCATTTAAGCTTACTGAGGTGATGAAAAATTGACCTAGGTTATAGCATTATAGAACAGTTTCAGCTGGAAGAGACCTTCAAGATGATCGAGTCCAAGCTGTATCCTAGCCCTACCAACACCACTAAACCATGTCCCTCATCAAAACATCCACCTGTCTCTTAGGCACCACCAGGGATGGTGACTCAGCCACCTACCTGGGCAGCCTGTTCCAATTCCTGACAACCCCTTCAATAAAGAAATTCTTCCTAATATCCAACCTGAAGCTCCCCTGGTGCCGCTTAGGGCCATTTCCCCTTGTCCTATCACTGGCCACTAGGGAGAACAGACCAACCTCCACCTCGCTACAACCTCCTTTCATATAGTTGTGGAGAGCAATAAGGTCTTCCCTCAATCTTCTCTCCTCCAGACTAAACAGCCCCGGGTCCCTCAGCCGTTCCTTGTACAACACATGCTCCAAATCCTTTACGGGCTTGGTAGCTTGCCTCTGTACCCTCTCCAGCACCTCAGTGTCCCTCTTGTAGTGAGGGACACAGTGCTCAAGGTGAGGCCTCACCAAAGCCAAGTACAGGGAAAAAAAAATTCTCTTATCTTGTGGGCAAATGGAGAAAGTACAGCCATGTTCATCTGTACCACACATCTCATAGATAAAGTTCTGAGAAGAATGCTTAGGATCCTGCAGTTTACCCACAGTAAAGGGAGAGCAGATGTTTCATCCAAGCAAAACTTGCCCAGCACTCCCAGTGCAGCAGCTCTTGCTGTCTAAATAGTGAAAACATTTTCACCATCACTTCATGAGCAGCTGGAATTCTGCATCCTGAACTGTGAGAGATGGCAAAGGGGCAGACTGAAGTCCCTGAAATGACAGTAGGCTCGAAACCTCTGGGCATGGGGAAATCCAGACCTCCCACAAAACTCAGGAAGTGGTGATGGCAGCCAACTTCAGTAGTCTGTAACAGCTTTCCACACAAAGAGGTAGAGCCAGACCAGACTTTCTCATTGCTCGGTAAGGCTCCAGTCCAAGAAAGCACTTAAGCTCAGGAGTAGCCCCCTTAAACTTCAAGAGGTGATAAGGCTGCTTGCACAGCTAAGCGTTTAAGCATATGCTCTGTTTGGATTTTAGGTAAGGGCTATAAAATATGTGACTGAGTAGCAGGTCCTCCTGAAGCTATTCTAAACACTGCTCACGTCCTCAGGAAGCATCAGACAGGAGTTGTATGCAACAGGGTAATTCGTGGTTCTTTCGCCAGGATACTTTTTTTTCCCCGTTAGCACATGCCTGTGTATACAGACAGTTGACTACGCTGACCTGGACTCACAAGGTCTGGATGCCTTGAGAATTGTCCTTCCCTGAACAAATGCACGAGCTCACTAGAAAACTACAAAACCTGATCCAACTCTTAATTCTGAAGCCAAGTCTGCTCTCTCTTTACCTTCATAAAACATACCATATTTTTATTTTAAGAACAAAATCAATCTGTACAGCAGACACGGTGCTGCTGTATGACTGTGGGAAAATACCTCTTCTAGGGGAAGTCTGGTCAATATATTTTTTTTTTAATATGGAAGCATTTTTAAGAGCACCATAAATAGGCCATACGCTGTGGATTCATTTGTCAACCAGCAATTAGAAGCAGAAGCCTCTTGACTGTGTGCTGGAAGATTTTAATAGTTTGCAGGCATTGTTTACATTAAACTGGAAGAGGGATCTATGTCTATTTTAAATAGAAGTATAAACTGAAGTAGCCTATTTGACTGAAAGTTGATACTGAAGATCCAGAAAGCCAGCAAAGTAAATGGGTAACCAGTTTACTTTACACAGAGATGTGACAGGTTTGGGCAAATTACCCCAGTAGGGCAAGAGTAACCTGGTGATATGTTGTAACCAGCAGCCACTGAAGAGAAACAGTTGACTGATTTTTCAGTTCTAAAAGGAATGCTTTAAAATACTATTTTCAGTTATTAACCGACTCCATTAAATAAGAATATTCAGCAGTTTGAGTTGAAAAAGGCAAGTAATTAATACCTGTAAAGAAAATCTAGGCAGGCAACTTGATAGGAAGCTTTTCCAGCCAAGAAACTTGGAGCTTTATGATCTTTGATCTTAAATTCCAACAGCTGTTTCTCTTCCTGAGAAACTCAAAGCAATTGGTGGGACTATAGTTTAAGAAACTACACCAGGAATATGGACCAATTATCTGATTCTCTAGGTAAATAAGTTGAATTGGTAGTTAAAACTCATTTCTAGGTGATTATGTAGTATGTTAAATACTGGCAGCGTCCATACTTACATTCCAGTTATGTCCACTGCTCTTCACAAGATAATGCCACTTTCTGTATAGAGGGATTTCTCCTCCATACCACTATGTTCCCATCATTTTCCAGGCTCTAACATAAGGAAATATGTCTTTATCTGTTAAACTTAACAGGTACCACAGCATAAATTAACAGGCACGTACCACACTTGGAGCTAATGTTCTTTGCTAGCATTTGAGAGTATAAGTGTAACAAATATGCATATGGGATGTATTTCTTTTACTGATTAGGATATAGTTTTGATGAGATAGGTAATTCTCTAGCCACAAAATAAATTAAAAAAAAAGGAAAAGTTAAACAAGTAGCTATTTTGAGACTACTGCTTGGACTGTGGGGTAAATAGGTAAGCTTTTTTTGTTTTACATAAAACTCCCCGAGTATATGCAAGTATGTTCCTGATGTATTTACTATGGGATACTGATAAAAGTATTTTCAGTTTTGTCTTGTGAACTTAAAGGGTTATCTATCAGCTAGTTTTCCTGCAGATTACCTGAAATACAGTGTTTGCCCTTCCCATTCGGAATGTATCGATCAGTCCTGCAGACAACAGATCTAAGCACAATCCTATGAAGTACTTAAACCCACAGAATCAGCCCCGTTCTGCATAAAAGCCCAGTAGCAGCAGTTAACTCAGACTTTTCATAATACAAATCACTATTTTACTGCATACATTATATGCAATCTATTTCTTTAAGCTCAAGCAGTCAGATCACTGTTCTTTATACAATGCTTTACTGACTTTCTTCCAATGTTTGTTTTGTCTTTATATAGCACTAATTCCTTGTTCTGTGACAACATGCCGTTCCACTGCTACCTTCAAAATGCTTTTTTTCTGCACATGTGCAGTATTAGCTCAGGAAAACTTTGCTCCTCCTTCCAAGGAGGAACTGAAAATACAGAAAATGTGCTCAAAGTAAGCACTCTGATCCGGACTCAGATTACCTGGTGACGGTATTTCTAGAATAGGTTGAAGCCAAAAGGCTGGAACTGAAGTTAGACCAGGACTCATCCTGCCTCCTCTGGCAGAGTGTGGCTGCTCTCCCCACACCTCTGGGCCCGCAGTGTGTGCAGGACCAGTGAACCTCAGCCACACACCTGAGCAGAGGCTGAAATGCCTGAGAAAACCATGAGAAGCCATAGTCTTAGGCAGAACTGCACCACGTGGAGTGTTTAGCCCAAGGAGCAGCCAGCAACTGTGGGGTCTGGAGTATCCTTTCGGGAAAGGAAGGTCTTCACTGGTGGCAGCAAATCTCTAGGCTGAAGCAGGGTGCTTCCTGCATGCCTGGTCACCAGAAGAAACAGCATTCACTGGAGTACAAAAAGCTTAGTCTGTATCCTGGAGAAGGTAATGCTGGCACAAGCGCTCCACTGGGTTGCGTAAGAGTTGCAGAGGAAAGGACAAGCTGAAAGGCAGCTTTCTGGGTAGGAAGTGGCGTAGCTGACCTGAGAGTAGGTGTCGAAATTGTTCTGTGAACCAATCTCTGAGGGATTTAAAAAACGGGGGGGGGCGGGGAGCAAAAAAAAAGAAGAGAGGAGAAGGATGGAGTCCAGAGTAGTCCTCTGTCATGTGATTGTTAGTTGGCATGTGAGGCTCAGAATGCACTTCTAGTAGTTACAGTTCTTTTCCTCTGAATGAAAACCATATTGGGGGGAAAAAAGCAAAGCTCAGCACAGCTGGCAAGATGTTTTTTGCACAACAGGAATAGGACTGAGGAAGAAGGGAGGGGAAATTGTCTGTTACAAGCACCCATGTCACAAGTGACTATGCCCAGTGTTCTGCAGTCAGCGGCACTTACACAAAAACTGATGAAGAAAATCTGACAGAGCGTTACTACATTGGGGATGGTGGCTGGCACTGTGGGCAGGCAGGTAGGCTGCCCTCCATCTCAGAATGGATGGGTCCTACAGCGAGCAGATTAGAAGCTCTGCAAAGCCCGATGCCTTTGGGTGGGCTTTTGCTGTCAATCTTGCCACTGCTGGAAGCAGAACACACAGTGGCAGGACTGGTCAGAGGAACAGAACTGAGCTGGTTCTGGAGATAAGAATTATGATCTCTCCTACAGCTGTGTTAGACTTGGCACTAAAGGTCACTGTGCTCAACTGGGGAAACGGAAATCTGCCCCCCGGGATTTTCAGAGCAACTCTTTCAGTGCTGGTGCACACCTTGGCCTTGCTTATTGCACTCCTATTAGTAACCACCTTTGATAACTAGCAATAGTCTCGTATTATTGGCTGAAGATCTTCAGACTGCAGCAAAGAAAAAAAAAGAAAGCTTCTCTAGGAATTGACATCACTTCACCAAAACTTTCTTTTTTGTTAAAGGTATGAGCAATTCGGATGTGATGGTTGCTCTTCAGCGTGGGTACCGAATGCCACGCATGGAAACCTGTCCAGCAGAGCTTTACGATATCATGAAAACATGCTGGAAAGACAAAGCAGAAGAGAGGCCAACATTTGATTATCTACAGAGTGTGCTTGATGACTTCTACACAGCAACAGAAGGGCAGTATCAACAACAGCCATAGAACAAAGAACACTTTTTCTATTGACATGGATCGTTGGCACAGACTATTATTTGGGCAGACTGTTCAAACCAATTACTTCACAACTTCGGATGTCTTAACTGAGGGTGGAAGCTGAAATGCTGAAGGAAAGTAATTCTGCAGAGAAGTAACAATATTTTTATTTGGTTAAAACAGTTCCTTAAAGCTTGAAGTTCTCCTCAAATGCTCGGTGTTTTGCAACTGCAGAAGCATCCCAAAGCAAGCAGGCTGTTTGGAGTGGGGAGGGAGAAGGAAGGAAAGCGATCATGCTCTGGTACAGTTTGACGACGCGTTCTTAGGATGTAAGTCACACAATACAAAGAGATCTTTATAAAAGGGGCAAGAAGATGCAGGAACAGCTGTTTTCACACAAAAGAGTCATAAAGGAGAACTTCTTACAGATTTAAGACACGGTGATGTTCTTAAATCATCTTTTTTGAAATACAGCATATTACAAAAATTATTTTTGTATCCTTGTTAACCTTGTTATTTGACATTAGTATCTGGAGTACTGTCACCTCTTGTCAGACTTTCTAAACAGTGTCAGTGGTTTCCTTTAAGAAAGGGTTTATGTATGTAATTCCTTACACTGAAGATGATTCTGTATTACTGCTGTATTACTCATACAAAATTTAAAATCCTTTTCAAAGTGGTGCACAGCCGTCACAGATGCAGGAGTGCAATACAAACACACATGACAGCAGAAGCGACAGACACCCAGCTCTGTGTTCAACCTTCAGCTTTCCACAAGGCTAAAGTCATCATCTGAAGCCCATGGGAAAGCTCAGGATTTTGAAGGAAGTTAATACTTTCATTGCAGTCACCAAAACAATTACCAGTGAAAATATTTTAATCTGAATTTTTAATCCTCTGTGATAATTCAAGAATATACCTTATATTTTTGCTGCTTTAATCGACTAACCTCAAATCTGTTTTAAAGCTAAACCTAGCTCTAGCACTATCAAAAGCAATTTGTGGAAATACGCAATAGGATATCAAGTTACATTGCAGTGACACTATACATTTTTTGCTCAGTATATAAATTAATTCATAGAAGTGAATGCAGTTTGCTAAGCTCTGCTTACTGTTCTATCAAATTACTTAGCAAAACAGCTGAGCTAGTGCAATTGCAATGTAACTACTGCATGGATTACTTGTTTTTATTTCAAAGTGACACTGGTTCTTACAATTGAAACCCAGTACATCTTTGCCACCCCTCAGCCCAATTATTTAGGAAATGGTACTTTGCAGAAGCTCAAAATTCTTTTTGGTAAAGCTTCAGTATGCCTGCAGTTGAAGTTCAGCAGCATAAATATTCATTGCTTTTCCATTGTCTTCCTTCAGTCAAACAGTGCAGTTTAAGCAGACTATCAGTTAAATATGTAAATAGTTTCTATTGTATGGTGATTTTTAATTTTAATAAACACTTAATCTGAAGCAAGTTGTATGGTGGTAATCTGAGATTTAAAAAAAAAAAAAATGGCTGATGTTCTACCCAGAGTGGTAGCTTCATGTGGAACAGGGGAATATCTGTTCATCACCATTAACGAGATTAATGGATTCTGCTTTCACAGAATCACAGAATGTCAGGGG